GATCCTGTTGGAGCACATGTTCTTTGATCTGGCAAGAAGGTGGCATGAAACCCTACAGAATTAAACAGAGACTGGACAAATTAATCAGACTGCCACACCGCGTGGAACTTCGCTATATGAGTGAAATAATACGGGACGTTAGACCCTTTTTTTACCTCCCCCATTTAAATTAAAAATTGTAAATTTCCTCAAAAGCATTCATTGACATAAATTGGAAATGTAATAGGTGAATGTACAAAGAGCTGTTACTTAAGGTGATTTTGTTGAATGTATGTTTTTCTCGGTACATTATTACATAAATTATACAAAGCTCTCGAATCATGGTGTTTGTCATTTAGCACATTCCATACACTGAACATAAAGTACAGTAAACTACGGTTATAACGAACTCAAATGGACCATTAATTTTAGTTCGTAATAACCGTAGTTCGTTATAAGCATATATACAGCATATACACAACAAATGGCAGGGGTTAGAAAATAAGTTCGTTATATCGGTAAGTTCGTTATAAGCGTGTTCGTTATAAACGTAGTTTACTGTAAATGATATAAGACGCCATTCTCCGGATATATACTATACTTCCCGAATGATCCAGGGGGAATAACCCTAAGTTTGTCTTCTGACGCATGCTGCTCTATGAATGTGAAAACATGAACTAAATGGATAAATGCCGAACTGTGGTATCCTTACATATTCAGGCCAAACCATGCATGCATATATAAGACATACCTGCCATAGGTGTGCGGCAAGATACATTCGTTGACCACTGGTGCTTCGGGTCTCACGGGTTGATATCTTCTATGTCAGTTGTGGAGGGTTCATCAACCAGTGTCCCCTTAGAGACCGATGGACGGCTTATGACGTTCATATATTAAAATATCCCGGGAAGATGTATAGTACCATGTAACTCAAATGTTTGAAAGCTTTAACGTCTGCGGGAAATATAAAATGTCCCCCTCTCTTTCAATCTCTGTTCTAGATATCATTCTCTCTCTCTCTCTCTCTCTCTCTCTCTCTCTCTCTCTCTCTCTCTCTCTCTCTCTCTCTCTCTCTCTCTCTCTCTATCTCTATCTCTCTCTCCCTCTCTCACCTCCGTACCTCTCTTCCCCGTTACCTCTCTCTTCCTCTCTGTGTAAGTCGAGAGCAGCTCATATCCTCGTATATATGAATGATCGTCTAGCTGCTTGTGTAACTGCTTACTCGCCATGGGTTAAACGTTGCCAAGATGAAGGATGGATTGTCCATGAGGTACAACGTGTGATGTATACCTTAACGTGGCATGACGCCCTACATCATCACATGTACACGTTAGTGTAAAGAGGTTTGCGGAATATGTGACACATGCACATTGTCTCTATTGGTAGGATTACGCGTTATACTACAAACTTTCTAAAATATTGATGTTATTACTGCAATACTATCGAGACTGCTTATTTGAAAAGCCAATGTGACAAAATAAAATTATTCTTTTTCAGTCTAATCAGGGCAGATTGCCTGATCCCAGGGCAGTACGGTTAAGACATTCGGCGTCCAAGAAAGAAGATTTTATAGATGGTCATATGACTCTTGCTCGAAGTTGTTACATTAGGGTTACAACATGCGATGTCTCAGTAAAGCTTTCAAAGTATTTTATGGTAGGCATGTGGAGTACATTTCAAAATCTGACACACCAGTGCTCAGAATGGTGTCAGACACAATTCCTTATTTTGACTTCTCGTGTTGTTTCATGTGAACAATTGACTTGCCTTTGCATGTGCACGTGTTTGTGTCAGATACCACCGGTAGGGCAGCATGCGCTCATCTTTTTGCGAACACCTGGTATTATCACTACTTGAAAGTGATTCATAAACACTTGCTTATGATATAGTCGGAAGCGTACCATGGACACAGATTTTAGTGGTGATTTCTTGTCGAGTTTATTTTCAAGAAGCAATCTTAGCTCTACGACCGTGGTACGTCAATGGTAAACTACTTTTGCTTTCCGGCTCAGAAGAATGAAACGTTTGCACATAATTCATTTCAGAAACATTGTGGTCTCCCCGGCACACTCTTCTTTCCCTGCTCGTTATAACGGGACACAGAACAAATACTGTGTCCACTTAATTCACTTTAGCAGCCGCTTTGACATCATTGTGGTCGATCAGGTTGAGAAAGACTTATTTACTATTTGTAGACATAGTTTTGAGTAAATACGACAGTCTGCTGGTTTTAATGATCGGGTACTGTGAGTGAGTGAGGTTTTTTTAACACCGCTTTTAACAGTATTCCAGTTATATCGCGGCGTGTCAGCTTAATGTTGGGGGAAAGCCCGAAGTGATGCAGGTCTCAGACGTTTACCACTTCGGTGAAACCGAACGAGCACGGGTATGGTGCTGACAAACCTAGAAACATAATCGGGGCGAACCGGGGCGAGCCCACAATCATGGGTTTCTGGCGTGCCCAAGGGACGCAACTCTGCACAGCGAATCGCAGACGACTGGGCCACCCGTACTCGGGTACTGTTGGTCTTCGGGTCCACATAAAATAATTCAGGGTTCTGGGTTTTGTACGCCTGTACACTCAAGTACCATCTTAAAACGTATTTTAATATGACGTGTTCTCCGGGAAGACGCTCTTTTCACTGTATCGCGGAGGCGGACTTGACATAGATGAAGTGGGGTGTAACTCAACTATTGATAAAGATAACCTTTTCTTGACGCACGTATACACGCGCATTAGTTGAAATGATTTCTTGTCAAGCTTGGCATGTGGTAGCAATTCAATAACGAATGAATGTCATCCGATTTAGGTAAATTTTTATAGGGCAAGAAATGGGGGAACGCATGTGCATTTCAATTTACACGGAACTCACGTGCATCGGGTTACCATGGCCGTTGCCGTGATGCGTTTGGGCGATCGGTGTTATTGTCATCTGCTTTCTTTTTTATCATCAAATTTCATTTTTCCGGAAAAGGTGACGTTAATTTTTTGAAACTTTGACAAAAATTACCCAGATATTTGAATGACAACATTTCATGCAATGTTACATGGGGTGACGTTTCTTTTGCGGTTCAGTATACAAGTAGTGTTTACGATTTGTTTGTTGTTTAACGCCGCACTCAGCAATATTCCAGCTTTATGACGGCGGTCTGTAAATTATCGAGTCTGGACCAGACAATCCGGTGATTGACATCATGAGCATCGATCATACATTCATACTCGCCTTTTCCGGCAAGCATATTCTACCCCGGAATCGTAACGGGTTTACGAAGCTTTGGACACTCTTATAGTTGTATCGCGCCCAAAAAAAGATGCAGGTAGTAGACTTTCGTCTCTTTTGTGGAGCCAACTAGGTTGGGAGAGGTGCCAGAAAACCAAGGATCATCAGCGGAGGAAATAACGGATCCTGGCATCTAAGGGAGGCAATTCAGCACAGCGAGTTTAGCGCTATATACCACAACAATCATGTCGGATCAACGGGACTTGCATGTGTCTCCTATGGCCCGGAAGGCGTTAAACCCCATTTCACCTCACCTAGCCTGTTATCTTTTGGCAAACCCTTGAGGAACGTGCACTTCTGGTACTTCAATGTCTGATATTAACTGCTCGAAATAGGCTTAAACACCTCTCGCCTAGGTAGCTATAGTTAATATCTTAAGCCAGTGAAATGGACAGTAATCTTGTGGAAATGAAAGTATGATCATGTGTTTAGGGTATGATGTTTCACATGAAATCATCATCATCATCATCATTAACTGATTTCAAAAGTAAACTACCGGGCAAAAGATAGTATACACCTTAAAATTGGATGTGACAAAACATTACAACCCTTATCAAAACGTTACTATGCTGAAAACAGACGCCGAAACACCACAAACTAAACGTCCAAAACACAACCATGACACCCTTATCAAATACATTACCATCGAATCACCATTATTCTATTATACTATTAGAGTACACCGAACAAAAGGTTTCATTCTCTTACATTCAATCCATAAATGTAAAAGGACACGTGACACATTATTCCCCATTTATTCAACCTAGTTTTCAACCCTGTATTTGCACTGTGATTTCACACGCAGAACTGTCTGCCTAAAAGATGTGCAAGCAGTTATACTATACAACCTTAATGTATCTGTGTTTGAGACTCTACATGGTTACACTAAGGTCTTGGCAACACGATTCGCTGCTATTCGCCGCGCGGAGTCGCGTCCCTTATCGTACATTAGGATCCGCTGATCGCAGTTTCAAACGCCAGACGGATGGATGAAGTAAGCACAATAACGTAAGGATGACATATGGACAATCATCGCCCCTACAAGCAACGTGCATCTCCTTGCGTCATCCTGACTCTTCGCTGCGCGAACCATGGACTCCAGATCATATTTTTTTTATCAAAAAAGTAAATTGTCTCAGAAATTGCTTGAAAATAAGATACGCTTTAGACTCAAGTCTTTGAACGACATGTGGAAGTGATACACATAAGGAAGAGAATTTAGGGATGTCAACTTCTTTATTATGAGGAACACAACGTTTCGGAGTATATGCTTACTCCTTCATCGGGTACTCTCAGGAGTAAGTATATTCTCCGAAACGTTGTGTTCCTCATTATAAAGAAGTTGACATCCCTAAATTCTGTTCCCTACACTTTAGACTTTTGAAAAAATATATCAATTGTCTGCCACAAAACATTCATTGTCGTAAAAAAGTAGTGAAATCTGCTTTGGGCAGTTTTAGGTGAAAAAAACCTAATATGCATTTCCCATTCATTGTCCCACACTTAGTAAGAGGACTATATGTGATGCGTTCCTAAAATATCAGGTGAACGGAAGCACAACATTATGCAATATACGGGAAGACGTTAAAATGCGTAGTACATTCTCTTGTCAAATAAACTTTAGATTTAAGGAAACTTCTCCTTTCCAACGAATGACATAGAAAATAGAAATCAATTTGCGTATCATTTACGAGTTGACAATGGTGGCATCAGTGTATAACATAGTCCTATACTACTTACATTTTGGTAATATTTCCCCTCACTTGAACGTCCGGAACAGAAGGAATGACATTCACATTCAAGTTGGGCGTCACGCACGTCAGCTTATACGCTCCATTGTTCAGGTGGGTGGTCGTGCACCCCAAACACACATGCACGTGCAGGCAACTCACAAGCACGTGCAGCACAAAGCACCATATCCTCCTCCACTGTGTCACAGCGTTAAGCATATCACAGCAGTTTGAAAAAAACCAACACTATTCCACTTATTGTCTCATGACATTAGTCATACTATGAAAATTAACACTATCCAATATGCGCGCCACATATGTGGGATTGCAGCTTCAACGCATGAGAATCTTTAACCTTTGAAGATAGTTGTCTCCTTTCACGGTGTGGCGAACGTCCTCATGGCAAATTGTAACGAGTGGTAGCGCTGATGGGGTAAGTCTTCACTCTGTCAGCGATCTGTTGCTTGTATGAAAGGACACGAGCTCGATATCCCAGGGTCTTTTATGTTCCGAAGTTTCGTTCGTCACATCTGGTGCGGAGCCGCTGAATCGGGAGCAAATTCTCTTGTTATAGTCTTTCTCCGATCAATCAAATGGGAGCTGATGACCAATCGAAATACCGCTAAGAATCGGTCCGCGTGCTCTCATATGCTGTGGAGAAGTACAATGTACAACTGTTTATAAATACTTCTGGTTGTGGTAAACAAGGTTACACGAGGGTAATGTGCTTACGCTGACGTCACAACATAATTCTACATAAACAATTCTCTGTCCTACTGCAGAAAAAAGTTAAATAATTCCACAACACACTGTTCTTTGATTACAATCTTTTCAATAAGTTTAAGATACAAATATGTGTGTAGCATTTCACGGTTTACATACGGAAATATTTGTAGTCAGTGAAAATTATATGTTAAGTATATACTTTACAGACAAGATTAGTGTGTGCGGGAGTTAGGTTTGAGATAAGCATTATATTTTAATGCTCAGGAGGTTTATTATTTTTTTCCAAAATTTTCAGGTGCTCAATTGTATTTTTTTGAATAAATAGAAAAAAACGAACCATATTCTTTGGAGACCTGCCTGCTAGAAAAATGCACATATAGTTTCCCTTCATTGCGACTCGCACGTATTTCTTGTCAGTAAAACAGAATAAATTGTTTTTAGAAAAGATCTGACCCCTCGAAAATAGAATGGTTGCTCCTTAGCAGTCATCAAGGACTGGCTTCTCGCATTGCTACCTTGCGACAAACACAGTAGGTGATACCAGGTAATAGGTGTGATGTGTAAAGAGAAATGGTTTCACGGACAGCCCAATAACAACAAAGGTTGTCTGTTATATATTTAAATGTTGGTACGTGATTAATTAAATAATGTACCAATGATGGAATACATACTGTCGGAATAACCAATTTGGACGTTCATACAATTATTTGAATATGTCTGGACATTTGATTAATTGATTAGATTCTCAATAATATCTGGGTTCGAATCCATGATTCGCTCTTACTATTATTCTCGCTTGTCAGCTCCATACCCGCGCTCGTTCGTTTCGCGAGTTTGGTATTTACATCACTTCGGGGTTTCCTCCACTCAGTGTGAGACAAAGCTTCTTCAGGAATGCAATCATCACTATATTGTGAGCGTACGACTCATACAATTATACAAGCGGAGAAAAGTTCCTAGGCATCACTATCATAGGAAATAATAAACAAAGGAAACGGGGAACGGAACAAAATACTGATGTTCGTGAAACATGAATTCATCATGACAGTGTCAACACATGTCTCCTGTTAACGTTATCGCAGGCTGAAAGTGGCGTAGGGTCAATTCTCAGTTCACAAGGCACTATGACAACCATTAGCAGTGATACAACCTTGACAACGTCGCCTCATTAACGACACCAATTTTTCAAGAAATGCTTGTGGGGGATGTCATTCCAGGTCTGGACCATGGCCTTCAGCAACTGGACCAACGTCACCGGTTGGTTTGGAAGTCGGCTTAAACGACGTTCTATTTCATCCAACACATGTTCGATGGGCGTCATATGTGGAAAAAATGAGGCCAAGGGAGTAGGGGGATGTTCCAATTAAGTCTATGACCATACGTGACCCGTGAAGGCGTGCATTGTCCTGCTGTAAAATGATGTATCTTCCTTGGTTTCGATGGAAAGAGACAAATTGCCATCGATCACCACAAGAGGGGTTCTGTGATGTACAGTGATGCCTCCCCACAACATAACGCTCCCTCCATCGAATCAAGACCGTCGAATAACGCGGAGAATGCACAACGTTGAACAAGGTGGAGAATGGAGGACGTTGAACAGCGTGGAGAATTGAGGACGTTGAACAACGTGGATAATGGAGGCCGTTGAACAAAGTGGAGAATGCAGAACGTGGAACAATGTGGAGAATGCAGAACGTGGAACAAGGTGGAGAATTGAGGACGTGGAACAAGGTGTAGAATGGAGGACGAGGAACAAGGTGGAGAATGGAGGACGTGGAACAAGGTGGAGAATGGAGGACGTGGAACAAGGTGTAGAATGGAGGACGTGGAACAAGGTGTTGAATGGAGGACGTGGAACAAGGTGGAGAATGGAGGACGTGGAACAAGGTGGAGAATGCAGAACGTGGAACAAGGTGGAGAATGGAGGACGTGGAACAAGGTGTAGAATGGAGGACGAGGAACAAGGTGGAGAATGGAGGACTTGGAACAAGGTGGAGAATGGAGGACGTGGAACAAGGTGTAGAATGGAGGACGTGGAACAAGGTGTTGAATGGAGGACGTGGAACAAGGTGGAGAATGCAGAACGTGGAACAAGGTGTAGAATGGAGGACGAGGAACAAGGTGTAGAATGGAGGACGTGGAACAAGGTGGAGAATGGAGGACGTGGAACAAGGTGGAGAATGCAGAACGTGGAACAAGGTGGAGAATGGAGGACGTGGAACAAGGTGGAGAATGGATGACGTGGAACAAGGTGGAGAATGCAGAACGTGGAACAAGGTGGAGAATGGAGGACGTGGAACAAGGTGTAGAATGGAGGACGAGGAACAAGGTGGAGAATGGAGGACTTGGAACAAGGTGGAGAATGGAGGACGTGGAACAAGGTGTAGAATGGAGGACGTGGAACAAGGTGTTGAATGGAGGACGTGGAACAAGGTGGAGAATGCAGAACGTGGAACAAGGTGGAGAATGGAGGACGTGGAACAAGGTGGAGAATGGAGGACGTGGAACAAGGTGTTGAATGGAGGACGTGGAACAAGGTGTTGAATGGAGGACGTGGAACAAGGTGTAGAATGGAGGACGAGGAACAAGGTGGAGAATGGAGGACGTGGAACAAGGTGTTGAATGGAGGACGTGGAACAAGGTGTAGAATGGAGGACGTGGAACAAGGTGTTGAATGGAGGACGAGGAACAAGGTGGAGAATGCAGAACGTGGAACAAGGTGGAGAATGGAGGACGTGGAACATTGTGGAGAATGGAGGACGTGGAACAAGGTGTAGAATGGAGGACGAGGAACAAGGTGGAGAATGGAGGACGTGGAACAAGGTGGAGAATGCAGAACGTGGAACAAGGTTGAGAATGGAGGACGTGGAACAAGGTTGAGAATGGAGGACGTGGAACAAGGTTTGAGAATGGAGGACGTGAAACAAGGTGTAGAATGGAGGACGTGGAACAAGGTGTAGAATGGAGGACGAGGAACAAGGTGGAGAATGGAGGACGTGGAACAAGGTGTAGAATGGAGGACGAGGAACAAGGTGGAGAATGGAGGACGAGGAACAAGGTGGAGAATGGAGGACGTGGAACAAGGTGGAGAATGGAGGACGTGGAACAAGGTGTAGAATGGAGGGCGTGGAACAAGGTGGAGAATGGAGGACGTGGAACAAGTTGGAGAATGGAGGACGTGGAACAAGGTGTTGAATGGAGGGCGTGGAACAAGGTGGAGAATGGAGGACGTGGAACAAGTTGGAGAATGGAGGACGAGGAACAAGGTGGAGAATGGAGGGCGTGGAACAAGGTGGAGAATGGAGGACGTGGAACAAGTTAGGAATGGAGGACGTGGAACAAGGTGGAGAATGGAGGACGAGGAACAAGTTGGAGAATGGAGGACGTGGAACAAGGTGGAGAATGGAGGACGAGGAACAAGGTGTAGAATGGAGGACGTGGAACAAGGTGGAGAATGGAGGACGTGGAACAAGGTGGAGAATGGAGGACGTGGAACAAGGTGGAGAATGGAGGACGTGGAACAAGGTGGAGAATGGAGGACGTGGAACAAGGTGGAGAATGGAGGACGAGGAACAAGGTGTAGAATGGAGGACGTGGAACAAGTTGGAGAATGGAGGACGTGGAACAAGGTGTAGAATGGAGGACGTGGAACAAGGTGTAGAATGGAGGACGAGGAACAAGGTGTAGAATGGAATACGTTGAACGAGGTTCCATCCGACGTCGATAAACACGTTGACTGCTATCACTTCTACCAAGATGAAACCTGCACTCATTTAGGAAGAGGACTTACCTCCAGTTCTGTAACCGGAACACAGGTGTTGCCTTGATCATGCTAGGGAAAATTGGACGTACAGTTCGACGTCGTGGTCGGATGTCATGTTTTCGTAATTGATTCACAGTCCTTGCACTAACCGGACGTAAGCCAGACATGATGCGGGCTGTCAAAGTTGCAGTCTGAAACTGATTTCGCAGGTGAACCTGAGGGATATGATTGTCTTGGCGACGTGACGTTATTCGTGGACGTTCGGAACGTAGTCGGTCCCTGGCGTTGCCAGTCTGTTGGTACTGACCCCAGGGTAAAAGTATGGTATTATGATGAACACCAAAATGTCTAGCAACAACGTTTTGTGGAATTCCGGCGTGGCATGAGATTTTCGAGAATGGCCGACGACAAAACTTCTTTCCACAGTTTCACAATTTCACAGTTTGACAGTTTACATTGACTCGGTCCCACGTGGACGGGGTCCATACTCTTGGGATTTTATGCTTGCAATGACCTGGATCCACGTGCAATTTCAGTGTCATCATAGGTAATCATGACAAAGCGTCTGTACATGTCGTAATCATACTTGATTCTGAAAACTCCCTTGCAATTGTATTTTTATGTGATTTTTTTACCCCTAGTATATAGCCCCTTGTGGCCATTTTCTAGCCCCTTGTTGGAATTTCGCAATGTATTGACGCTAAATTACAGTGCCACAGGACTGTTTCACGAATGTTTGTTTTGTATGTAGACTGGATATTTTTTAGCTACAGCAGCAAAACCATATTTTTGTAAAATATAAACTATGAGCATCAGTATTGGTTTAAAACCACCTTGATATTATATGCCTTTTGTGGCAGACAGTCAGACTGTTTTTCAACAGTCTGAAGCGTAATTACATACATATCTATCATATTTAGAGCTAATTGTCTGTCCCTAACGGTACATAGACCATGGAATGCAATTAAAACTATATATCCAGGGTTCCCTGAGCGACGTTGACGCATCACAATGAGATGAACGTCATTTACT